ACACGCACACACGCACACACGCACACACACATGCACACACACACGCTCACACACACACGCTCACACACATCACACACACACACACACACACGCTCACACACACACGCTCACACACACACGCTCACACACACGCTCACACACACACACGTCACATCGCACACGCTCACACACACCACACTGCTCACACACACACGCTCACACACACGCTCACACACACACACACGCTCACACACACACACACACACACACACACACACACACACACACACACACGCTCACACACACACACACACAACACACACGGACACACACACATACACACACATATATATACCATATAATATATATACATACGTACATACATGTATACATTACAGGCATGTACGATTGTTTTATGTATGTGCACAGATGTGTGTACATGCATTTATACATTCATACATTGATATATTATACACATATAGATAGATGCATACACATTTACACATTCATTCATCAATCAAATCGCCTATCTAAAATTTATATACCAAATGTTCTTCGATTTACAATATCCAACCATTAAACAGCTCAGAATGTAATTAGGTGAATATGAAGGTAGAAGTACCTTGCATTCATAGCTCTATCATAAGTCACAATTTCATTGCATTTGGTACAATAGTAAAAATAACTTCTTAGTGTATACGACTGACCGAAAACAAACTACCATACAAAAAAAGAAGTAAGAATGGTAAAAAGCGAAGATTATACTTAGAAACGTGCCAAATAATGGCAATGTTACAAATCGTATATATTAGGATATATTATATGTTACAAGTGTAACTAGTTTCTAAACAAAGTTTGAATTTCTGACCATGTTTGATATACCAGATGAAAAATGAATTGATTACATCAGTAGAAAAATGAAGTAGAGAATTGAGTTAATAATGATAAAAAAATCGAGCTCTGCAGTAATTGCGCCTACAAGGGAAGCAATATTTGAACATAAAACACAGGAACTTTAGCCTATCCCGTTTTCACTGGTATTATAAACGTAATAGTAAAATCCTGTCGACACGAGCGGGTAATGCACCTATAAAGGTCATGTCACTGGCGAGAAAACTGCAGGGATAACTTTACCGAGAAGTTAACCCGCACAAGGTATGAGGTACTTTTATCTAGACTGCACCCGCATTTGACGCCATCTCAACTCGTGCTCACCCTTTTCCCTACCGACCACGTCTGTCCATGTGGGCAGGCCGTGACACCTTTTGTTTGGGTAGTAAGGTGTGTGTGCACCAGGGGAACGATTTTAATGACAGTGTTTGCCGGCTTGGGTCCTTACCCTCGTGTAGACTTTCGGGGCTATAGTCTGCCAACCGCACTACAAGGCTCCTGAGAGTTCATTTTTGAATACTGAACCAAGGTGTAAGACTAAAAATTATATATTTTTAAAAGTTCAGCTAACATCCAGTACATGTTATCCGAATTTCACAACGGTAATGATAATATGATGGCACAGTAGTAATAGTAATGATGATGACAAGAAGAAGAACATATAACAAGACTAAGATCATCAGTACGCACACATACATATAAGTATATATCACTCGTATCCCCCCATCTCCTCTGGCCCATGGTAGGGATCACCCCCTACCTTGGACCTCGGCCGTCGCCTCAACTAATTTTGCATGGTCATTTCTTCTCCCCTTTCATTTTCCTTTTCTTCATCCACTTCTTCCCACATCCAAAAGTGCGAGAGCCGGCTGGGTTTGTGTCAGTTCTGGACGTCCTTTTGCAATCCGTTTGCTCTTCCCTTTTCACTTCCATACAGCGCTCTACAACCTTTGGTATCTAACATAATTTTTCTCATAACATTTTGTCATTTATTTGTTTTGACCACTAACCTTTCTGGGAATCCATAAACATTACTTTATCTGGGGGCGAAGCCTCATCCTATCACTATTACCTCCGTCAACGAGGTTATATTCTAAATATGCCGCTAACGACCGCAGATGTTGACGCGACAGAATTTTTTAAATAAATGAATAAAATATCACCCGTGTACTTGAAGAGACGCATGAAAGCTCCTAATAAGTATCACAGGAAAGAGAGAGCGGTGGTGTGGACACGGGCGAAGTAATCTTCCCTCTGTCTTCCTCAGAAGTGAGTATGTATTCCAAAAAGCCGACGGAAAACTATGGAAGGATTAGTTTTCACAAGAAGTCTCGGAGATTACATGTTTATAATCGGTTTCCAAAGTAGAGCACATTCCACGAATCCATAAGAGAAGTAATGAATCTGGAGCAGTATATAAAAAATGACCAACTCTGTCAAAATTAACCAGGGGCCGGATTCTCAAACGCGTTAAGGCGCCGTATCTCCTTAAGGCGCCTTAACTTACGGCCGAGCGATCTTACAACATACACAGAACAAGGGACCCACTATATTGGTTCAAGTTAAGGCAGGGGAGAGCAGCTTTTAGCGCTTTCCAGCTGGCGGGAAATCAACACTCTTCGCTCTTTTATAAGGGAAATACAGCAGGACGGTTAAGGCCTCCAGCGGGTCTTAACTTAGGCTCTTTTGAAATCCGGCCCCAGGAGTATATAAAAAATGACCAACTCTGTCAAAAGATAACCACAGGACAGGGTCTTGAGGGGCGGAGGCCTTTCGCTCTCCCGTTGGATGGTGATCAACATGCCAAAAAAATCTAAGGAAAGAAATAATACGAGCTGAAGTTTCTGATATAAGGGAATATAGACTATAGTACCGTTTAAAACACGTACAGTATTTGGGGAAATGGGGGCAATTGCTTCCCCTAAGTTTCTGATTTCACCCTTCAAAGTCGGGCTTGCCCTCTCCCCCCAAAGGGCCACACTTCCACTTTTTTGCCTAAATTACACCTTTTTAGCTCCCGCCATAGCTCTAATTGCTCCTATAACAGTTCATTATTCAAAAAGATTCTTGTGGGGGCTCGCAGCGCCCGAGAAACTGATTGTGCTCACTTCGCTCGCAAATCTTGCCCCCCAAGAAAAAGTCTAGAAAAGAAGAAAAAAAAAATCATGATAAATTCCTGATAACACAAATTTCAAACTGTCACCGTTCTTATTAAATTAGGACATCAGAGGTGTGTGATAAAATAGTACCGGAACCAAAATCATCAAAATATCAATGTAATGGTTAATAACTCGAGAGTCTGGGATATCTTTTCAGTATATAAAGCCGCTATAGTCACAATAGCCCTTAGAATTCATAATCGAATTGTATCTTTATTATTCTGTTGCCCACTTATTTATTTAACATTCGTAAATCCAATTAAATAAATTACGAGTATATAGAACAGAGTACCCTTATAATAAAACAAAGAAAACGGAATTTACATTAAGTTCATAGAAAACAAAATATACAGGGGAGACCTTCCTTTTGTTTGGTTTCTCTAGCATCAACTTTATATAATTAGCTTGGAAGATGCAATAACAGGCTAACAGAAATAAAAAAGCCTATAACCAGAGAACTTTATTCCTGGATGAATAATGGCTATAGACAACAGGTGAAGTGTTATCTAAAAACAGCAAGTACAGCCTAATAATAATTCATAAAAAGCGAAAAGAATTGGACATCATTTGTTACGTATCAACGCTGATATATGTATACATACATGCATACATACATACATATACATACATACATATATATATATATATATATATATATATATATATATATATATATATATATATATATATATATATATAATATATATATATATATGTGTGTGTGTGTGTGTGTGTGTGTGTGTGTGTGTGTGTGTGTGTGTGTGTGTGTGTGTGTGTGTGTGTGTGTGTGTGTGTGTGTGTGTGTGTGTGTGTGTGTGTGTGTGTGTGTGTGTGTGTGTGTGTGTGGTGTGTGTGTGTGTGTGTGTGTGTGTGTGTGTGTGTGTGTGTGTGTGTGTGTGTGTGTGTAATTGGTCAATATATGTAATTGGAGATTATCTTTTAACCTCCGTATAAGCCATAGCAGACCATCCCTATGATTCAGAACAGCTCAGTATAGTTAATGGTTACAGGGAGTTTTGTCATATTCCCACATCCAAATAATCATTTATAATTACCTTTTCCCGCACACGCTTACATTTGTTTATAGACAAACACGAAGAAATGTAAATGAAAAAAGTAAAAGTGAAAGATGTGTAAATACTTGACAAAAGCAAAAGATGTGTAAATACCTGACTTGAATGACTATAATTATTTGCTAAACATATGTAATCCTTGACAAAACTAGACAGTTCTTTCATAATCTGGAGGCTTAAAGTACAAGGTCACTATGCTGCATGGAATAGTAATGATGATAATAAAACGAATTTGTGGTTCTATCGAATGATTATGTATAGAGACTTAAGATAGCGATCGCTTTGTCATTTTCAATATTCCCCAATAAAAGAAGAAAGAATCAATTTTCAGTATTCTGTTTCGGGGAGAAAAATCATGTGCTCATTTTATGCGAAATGTGTAGCGATTCAATATTTTTTCTCGAAAAATGGACGTAATTGAACAGTGTTCCAGCTCTACTCTAAGCTGATTTGTGAGATAATATATATGATTAATAAACAATGTTTGAACCAAAGAATATTTAGTCTTTGGTTTGAACACGACCGTCTTTTGTTCGTGTATCCTCTCGGCGTTTGGACATACGACACTTTTGTTCAACTTATTTTTCTATCGGAAATTTCCGCAGAACAATCTTCTAAGTAACACGAAGGGGTTTAAGTGTAGCTGGTACAATTATGTATTGATGTTTAATATTAATGTAAAGTAAATATACATCTAATAAAAGGATTACCTCCATCAGGTATGATTTTAAAGGGAAAATACAAATTATATCACAATGACCTCTCTTCAGAGCATGAACAACAAAAAAGAAAGATATAATAAGAATAAGCATTAGGCACAAAAGAAAAAGAAGGAAAGAAAGAAGAAAAACAAATAAACCATAGTCTTTCATCAATTTTAAAGTAGATCAAAAGTCCAAGAAAGTGTGCCGGATGAGCATGCAGACGACGTGTGGTTCCGATACGGAGCAATTGCCCTTGTGTATATAAAGTTACTTATTTCTCTGTATATATATAACATGAGCTCCTGAGAATTATCTGTGACTCCAGATTTTAAGTAACTGAATACTTATAATGGTTAGTTTCCGGTGTCCATTATGTTTTAAGATCATAAGGTAGTCAATGGTGATGAAAATGTTTTTTTGGGGGGTCTTTTCACGTTATGTAATAATTTGTGTTCTTGTTTTGTGTTTGTCATTCATAAATAATCGCCCAACATGTGCAGTCGCGTAGCAAGACATGCATTTTGGACGCATTGTGTCCATAAGTTCCAGTGATAGAACATAGATAGTAACGTTAGTTCTGTGAAGGCAGTTTCATATTTTTTCCTTATTTAGAATAAATTAAACAGATTTTCATACTTTGGTAAGTTCTCGAATGATAGCCATCACGCTCTAAGTTAATTGTACAAGGAATTAAGAGATTTTCAAGTTTTGAAGCCCCTCTTCTATGAATTTCTTACTGCAAAGTGCAAACAAAAGTTGCTTAAGGTATTTCTGTGCAAAAGCTATGCAGCCTGCACTCCTGTATTAGATAATTTCCTCTTCCAGTTCCATTATCGGTAATTTTCTACATTACCTCCGCCGCTCCGATGTCAATGATTTTGGTATCGAAGGATTCCTCTCACTGTCCACATTACAAATATATAGTGTTTATTGCACGGAAACCCCCTGTTAGCCACAAACTTGGCCCTGATAGCAGGGGAGGGCTTGAAAGGTTCTAGGGAAAATGCAAGGTTAAATAACACTAATAATATAACTCATAGTGAAAATAACCATGGTTGTTCAGACGACTCCCCTGCCGAGGAAACAAAACCTCCACCACATATTCATGGCAGGCTAGAGCAAATATTGTCGATGTCGGAGCGGCGGACATAATATTAGAATTACCTGTAGGTAAGCCCATGCAATGAAAGTCATGTGAATAACCATGGTAATTTTCACTGTGGGTTATATATGCCGCTAACGGGGGGTTTCCGCGCAATAAAACCTACATATTTGCATTGTATAGAGTGAGAGGAATCCAACGATACCAAAATCGTCGATATCGGAGCGGCGGAGGTAATATAGAAAATTACCCCATTATCCCTACCAGACTCTGAAATTGTTGGTTAATACTACCAAGTGCGATGCTCAGAAATTGAGGGAAATGGACACTGCCATCTCTTAGAGCATTAGAAATAAAGAGTCATAAACAACACGGTTACATTGACCTCATGTTTATTGTAGACACTGATAAGGTGTCGTAGCACACCTTAGGAGGCACTGTTTAGATGGGTGGTGTGTATATGTGTATATAGATTTTTTTTTTTTTCTTGTTTCACATAGCCACCCAACCTAGCAATTATTTTTTGTTCCAGTTATTCACAATGTAATATTTGCACATTTGTTGTTTTTACATAGCAAATGAATGGTTCATTTTACCCATTATATATGTGAGGACGCAGAGGGATTGGATTGTACAGTATCTATACTTTGGTAACAATAGTTATCATATTTCAATTTCACATACTTAACCCACTTATGATGGGTGTCCCACATATGAGACACACGGAAAAGTAAATATTACCGGACTTCCCGCCGGTGCGACGCTAGATTGGAGCTCATGCTCTGGTGTTTCTCACCTGTGGCGGCCGCCGTGTGGGCAGGGTCCTGGACTCGGCCGTGTGCCGATTTTGAAGCCGCCCAGAAAATATTATTTTCAACTTGAAAATGTACCATCACTAGTGGGTTAATATAGGTTAGATTTTATGACCATTATTTTTACATCATTATTTCTTTGATTCATTTTACCTTTTGTTTATTATGCAGATACTTTTATTTTACAGGCTAAGCATATTGCGCAGTTGATTGTTGCTGGTGCACAGGTAGTTGGGAGAGCCTTCGTCAAGGCTTTGCGGCAGGAGATTGCAGGTAATGAACCCCTATGGGTAAATCATACTAATAACAAGATTGCATGAGTTCCATTGGCAATGGGTATCTTAGATTATACATGTAATTTGCTTAGCTTTCATGAGTTGTTTACCATCAAAACAATTTAATTTTGTTATGGGCTCTGTTTTGGAGCACAAAGACATAGAGAAAAGATCAAGCAGGTAATCTATGAGCACAGTGGATGCTTATATGTTGCTTGTTTTCTCCTGCAGTTGAAATATGTTTTAGTCACTGTTAGCTAGTTCCAATTATTCCTCATGTCGCTCTCTCCAGCAGTTGTCTATAAGTCCATTGTTTGTCCCTTTTTTTTTTTTTTTTTGTTCCTCCAGTTGATTTTTTTTCATTCTGGATTCAGATTTTTGTTTGTATTCCCTTCTTCTTGTTATTCCATACTTCCACCACATTTACCACACCAAAGTTCTGACTTTAAATCTTCCTGCAGCAAGTCAAGCAGCAGCGCAGAGAGCGGGAGGGGGAGCCGCAGGT